CCCCCAAGTTGTGTTTTACACCGTTCACACCCTGTCAGAATTTAAGGTAACCTTTATGGCACGTGCTGCAGGCGAATCCCTTTTTGGTAGGTAGCAGACGTCCGCGCGCCTCGCCGACAACATTGATTTTGCGCGCACCACTGACCAAAAGCGCTCTCAAGCTTACTGAGGCTCTGAGAGCTCTTCCCGTAGACGAGACATTTCAGGAACCCCTTAAGTAAACATCTGTAGGGTTCAGATACGGAGAATGGCCCAGTTACTGGTTGCTCGTGTTTCGGCTGAGGATGCACACTACATGGTGGTCTTCCAAGCAGCTCAAGGACATCCTTGACGTGCGGGGAGTCCCCCGTCATGCTGGCACCAAATGTTCGCCCCCTCGCCATCAGAGTCTATCTTCAGCTGCTCACAAAAGCACTCAAGCATAGCGCGGTAGCGCTCGTTGTTTGTTCTGGCCATGGAATCTTCCGGACTTTTGGAAGAGGGGCCCGAAAGGGTGTGTCCAACCTTCGGGGCATATTTCATAGACATACTCTGGTGACACCTCAGGCCGAATGGCGTCTTATAATGGCACTGAGAAGTGCTACTGCAACACCGTCTAGACATGATAAGTATATTAATTTTAATTACTTTCTAGTCCAATTACACCGCCAACGCTTTGTAACAGCACTACGCTTCTTCCCTGCAGTCGCGAACCGCGTCATCATGACAACGGCCGTGCACATCCCTACTAGTTCAAGTAAAGAAATGTTTGTGATTGGCCCAGCGTGCAGCGGCCTGTTACCGAGAAGCAAGTTGGTTGAAGTCTGAGCTAGTGCGCCACGCGGATCATGTGATACTTCCATTCCTAAAGCCAAAGTGCGCCTCCAAAAGAGCCACTGTGGGAAACGCTATAGGAGAGACATTAAAGCCATAGTACAGCGTTTCATTAAATTCGCGAGGAAGTAGATTCGTGTTGACATATATTTTTGTCTAAACTGTGTATTTGGAGCTAGTTCGCAGCCTGTACTACACAAGTAGATACTTAAGTGTATTTAAAACATTACAGAACGCAAACGTTCGAAAAACTGAAACAAATGAAATTTATCACCTTTATGGTGGTGAGCAGGGTGTCAAATGAAATTTGTCCCCAGACTTGGCTACTTTAAATTAGAATTATAAGCCATTCGGAACGAATTCGAGAAAACTAGCATTGCTGATGAAATTGTATACGTCTGATGTACCAATACGTGAAAAGAACCAAACACCTGGGATGCTTCCTTAAGGGATATGCTCCATATTGACAGACAATGAAGTAAACATCAGGTATGATGAAATAAGCTAACTTATAACTATTGGTATACTCTTAAGTGGAAAGAATGCTCTAGACGAAAATCATGTATTAAGTAAATATAATTCTCAATACGTCATTGCTTGATTGCGTCATGGAACGTTTGTATGATAGGCACTCAGTTACAGTTATTCAATGATCCGAGAGGCGGCCCGCAGCGGTGCTGGATGTGTGCTGGACCAAATACCATTAGATGCTCGTGTTTTAGCCCATTCTCGTGCTGTTCCTGGATATTTATCCGTGAGCTTAAGGTGCTCACTGGTATTCACATGCTCTGGTATACAACTATCCCAAAGCTGTTCGATTACAAACCTTAGTTCCGTAATAATGAGGAAGAATGTATAGTCTCTCGCATGATGCAGCACAAAGTACATCTTGCGACCGATCGAGATCCGTCCTTCTTATCCTCTGTCTTGCTTCATCCTACACCCTCGTGACGCCCCACTTGTCCGGGGCAGGCTGCATGCGTCAGCCACCAGTGGGCCGAGAGCCCCATGGGAAGAGGGACCCCAACCGGGTACTCAGCGCGCATGCCCGGGCTTAAGCTAGGCAATTGGCCCCCCCAGACGCATGCAAGTCTGGCCCCACCGATAACCATTTTTCTTCATCTCATGACCCTGATATGATCAATCCTGGTCGAGAGGACTCTGATCCAAACAAGCCAACACCCACACCGATCGCGGCTGGATCTATTATATCCTGCACAGTATTGGCCGAGAGCCAGTCGACGGCCGTTTATCTTCAAACTGTGCTCATGGACGACCGGTATGGCCGGCTCGACAACTAGATTCGTCTTGACTTTGAACGCCTCATGGTCATTGGAATGACAGCATTTGAATGACGTTATTATGACATCATGAATGTCTGGGTAACCTTGAGATAATCTGCGCGAAATAGTCTGCACATATTCGCGGTCGTGTAGCTCAGAAAGTGGGACAGTTTTAGGTCTTAACAAAGGACAGAGCTGTGAACTGCCCGAATGATCTTCAAGATGGCTATTTCAGTTCAACACCTCATACAAATGTGGAAAACCCCCTTTACGGCCGCTAAAAAGGCCCTGAGCCACTGAAACTCATTGGGCACCACACACTTTTGGCTATGCAATGGGCTCCAGCACGGCTTCGGGCCTTACTCCATTCAATGGGATGTTCCACTCAGGTGAAACTGGGCGTCGCTGCTGAGGCAGGCGGGGCTCAGAAACCAAAGATCGGCTTGAGCCTTCGTCTTCACCCAGGTGACGTATGCCATCCGCTATTGTTTATCGGCTTCCATCCAGGTTTCGGTGTAAGCCACACAAGGCCACTTTCTGGGAAAATACTTTGAGGTTACTTTTTCAGAACATGCCGTACGGTTGTGTGATCGGTGCCAATATCCTGCAAGAGCCTTCGAAGAGAGTTTGGAAGATTCTCAGCGTTGGTACGCTTGGCTTTTTTGATACCTTTGCTGTTGATCTTTTCTCTATTCTCCCCCTTTATCCTTTATTTACGTTAGCACAAATCCATCTCTCAGTAGCGTCTCTGACATGATAAAAATTGTTTTCCTGCTAGAGGTGTGCCGGGTTTTAAAAGTGAAGCCTTATCTGCCTTCGCGTTGCAACGATGGATAGCGTTAGCCGAGATAAATGGACAACTTTGGGATTTTTATTCGTTGCGGGCGGCACAATGGCGCCAGGTAAACATGGGGCACCTCAAGCAGCACCTGAACTAAAACTAAAAAACAAATGCTATCCAACGACATAAAAAAGCACGCGCTTGTGTGTTATCAAGGCTCCGTTACACGCGCTGTCAAACTGAGTGTTTTACTTTCGACCCGGTACGGCGTATGCCATCGTGCCTCGTGGTCATTACCCAAGTATCGAGGAACTGCGCCCAGCAGACACACACGGTCGGTGCTCTGACACAGTCCATGTGTGCTCATGTCTTATGATTCGCATGCCGAGCCATTTACCCTATATGTGTAATAATGCAACCAGCCCCTGACCGCGTGGCTCCCTTCGCGGTTCCCCTTCCAAACGTTCGAGTTCTCCGCATCACAATGAACTCATAATGCTGAAAAAGCAGGAGCTAAAGGCCTTCCTTGCTCACGTCAAGCCAAAAGCATTCTTTGCGTCTCTAAACGTGGCGTTTGATCAGAACATCGTTTAAACCCGACCCAAAATAACCGAAGACTTTAACTTGCCCGTACCCACGACATAGATAAAAAGATGCGGTTGAATCATATGCCTTGGATTAACCCGTGGAGGCCGATTCGGTCAAAGTCTGAGCAAGAGGCGCTGCGTAGTTTGGTAATCCATTGTGATAGCTGTGCCGAGACGCTCCCATGGCAATATCATCCACACAAAATTATTGCCAAACGGTCAATTGGTTTCGCGCCTTTGCGCATTTGCCTTTGTCAAACGAACGTTATCTGTTAGTAAAATTTTCATACATCACCTACGAACTATTCCGAATGCTTTTTATCCATACGAGCTATTTACATACACCCTTGAGCGCCGATGAGCTTTTGTTATTACGAATATTTTTGCGTACTTGATACCATACAAGCATTTGCTTACGAACTTTTGCCATGCAAACTTCAGCCTCGTGCTTTCGCCGGCAAACAAGTGATTTCTTCCTTTATGTATGGGCACTTTTTAGTAAGAATGTTCATCTTACTCAACCTCCTGTCAACAACGTAGGCTCGCCGATGAAATAGGAGAACCCAAGACTTATATGCACGGCAGCTGAGTGATAGAGGGTGTCGGGGCCAGGGACGCAGCTTCGAAATGGGTAGGGGTTGGGGGTTGGGGGCTGGGGGCTTGGGGGTCGCGGGTTGGGGTTTAGAGGCTTGGGGGTAGGGGGCTCGGGGGTTGGGGGCTCGGGATTTGGGGGCTTGGGGGTGGGGGGATAAGGGGTTGAGGCTGAACTGTGAAAAGTGATGAAATCTTCCCCCAAAATCACCAACAAGTCCTCTCCCCATTTGGCCCACTTTTCTCTTAAAGTTGGGGGAAAGCCCCAGCTCTCCCGAAACTGATTGGAAAACTACAACCCCTGGTCAGGGCAGGTCATCATGTAGAGCCCCGTCAACGGCGCTGGGTTCTGCGGACAAGCGAAAGGCACCCAACGCCAAGATGGCGGCCCTTCCAGCCGTCGAATGGGTCGTCTAACAGTGCATCCGATAAGAGCGTAGGGCCCTCCGAACATGGAAAACAATGAGAAGAATGGCAATGTCCCTGCTTGTCATCAGTGTCCCTGCACAAAGTCTAGGTAGATTCTGGTCTTCGGTAGGCTCTCTAGGCCCCCGAGAGGTGAGCACAGGTCACAGCTTCCCGTGCCCGCAGAAGTCTTCAACGACTCTTAAGAAAATCGAAGGATTGCAGGCTGGCAAAGCTAGAGGGAACATGATACAGCAGACCAGAGCTTGATCATTTGGGAATAAATGAAATGATACCCTGGCATGAGCGCCTTTCGATTATGCCTATGCCATCACTCACCTCGCCATGTCATGCGCTGTCTGAAAGCGTGTTTTCTTCGCTTGCTCGTGCAAGGCCATCATATGAGATGGCAATTAAGGAACATAAAACAACTTAACTTTTCTGCTCCCATCTGTGCGATAGCCGTTCATAACCCGCGCGTGGGGAATGGATGCGGCACCGGCATAGCAGACAAGACGCGCGCAACATGACAAACACGGATAGGCCATACCTATATTGTTCTCACACGTCAGAAAGACAGGTTCATAGCATGACACACGCGGCGACCGACAAGCGCAGCAAGGAAAGAAGAAACGGGATGTTAAGTACTTGGTAAGCACCTTGCCCCCAAAGCCACGGCAACAGGGCTCTGAGGAGTCGGCAACGCAGCAGGCATAAGTGAAAGCACAACTTCTCACTCGTCATCATTCCGCAGACCCTGGACGTGAGTGAACAACGCACGTTTTGATAAAATCACTCATCACGATCGCCACCGAACCCTCCTGACATAAAGCAATGCTCACAAAATTCCCAGATCTATGGTTTCCTTTTCATCTAGGAAAGAACATGGTTCGACAAGTACATGATTGGCTAGGTAGCCACACATATCTTACAACGCACCCTCTCAGCCAACTGCTGATCCATGCAGGGTTCCAAATAGACGTCAGGCGACGCCCAAAAACGAATTTCCGGAGGCGTTCTGCCGAAGCACGAAAGCACTCGTACCACGATTACGGGTACCAGCAACAACGCTCGCTCTTACCACTGCTGTCCCCTGAGATCACCAATGACACACTCCACTCCCAGGCTCACGATTTCTTCAACTTCTTCTTGGCCGAGCCCTGTTTGGAACCCAGCTCAGCAATTTTCTCATCCACCCGGTTGATCAGCTCGTCGAAGTCACTCTGTAGCGGCCGTGAGCATACAATGATCAGCATCCAATGTTGGGATATGACCGCAGGAAGCGTACGAGTAACATGGATTGACGCCCGAAACGATAAAGCTGTCCAAGACAGGTAGTTGCCAAATGAAACAAGCAGCACGCGGAAATCCTAGCGCAATGGATCCATTTATGTCAGATTGATGCCCCATATGCGCAAAGTTTCCAAAAGCATCCACACATGCGTTCGCTGGTCATCAAAGCACGCGACGCAAAGCGCACGACGCGGGCAATTCGTCATCATGCACAGAGTAACACGCGCGGCGTGCGCGAACAGACAGGCCACTCCGCACCGAAGCCTTCTCCGATCAACCCTGCTGCTGCACCGGGTGATCCGTTACGGCACACGTCACTCCGCGGCGCTGGCTCACCTGGGTGTACATCTGGAGCAGGCGCAGGGCGTTCGGTCGGGCATCCGGCTTGCGCAGCATCTCGGCCGCATCCTCCAGACAGTAGGTCAGCTCGTCCTCGGTGTTCTCCACCTGGCGACGCGGACGGAGCGTCACTGGTGTCTCCTGACAGACGGCCAACGTCGCTGATGTTCGCAGACATTATCTGACAGAGGGCCCAAATCAGTGGTGCCTCCCGCCAGAGGGCCCAAATAAGTGGTGTTCCTGCCAGAGGACCCAAATCACTGGTGTCTCTGCCAGAGGGCCCAAATCAGTAGTGTCCCCAGACAAATGGTCCGTCGTACATTGCCCCAGATAGGCCCAAGACAGTGACGGGCCTCAGCGTCTCACAATCAGCGCCGCCCTTCGCAACCAAGTCACGCGATCCTCGGCTTTCTTCAGCTGAGGACACACGACGGGGTGCCCTACGCATCCAGCTCCACCAATCCACATCAGAAGTTCTTGCGAGCAGCTCGACGGCTCGAACAGCCCCGCAAATGCCAGTCCGCTCACAAAATGCAAGTTCAACTTGGCTGTCTTTCCCGCGCCAGTCGCGCAGATCCTATGATCCAGCCAGCCGGCCAGCCGAGCTCCGTGGCCATAGACCGCTCGGTCCGTCTGCCCGGCCAGAAGAGGCGGCTCAGCGGCTGCCCGGCCGCGCACGGCCCGCCCTCACCATGGCCGAGTAGAGGGTGCGCCGGCACGTGTCACACTCCCGGTCGTCCTCGTCGTGCGCGGCCGCCTTGCGCGACCTGGCCGCCTTCTTGGCCGAGATCTTGGCCCGCTGCGCCACACCTGCGGGCGAGGGCCGGCCGGCCAGCACGGCGGCGTAAGCGGCGGCGCCACAAATGACGCCTGCACCATTACCACCCGCCGGCTCGGCGGGAATGGTCCGACCGCTGACAACGACCGGACTACGGCCAACAGTTCAGCCAGTGGCCAGGTTGAGGCCCGGGTTACGACGGGATCGTTGGGGGCCGATGCGACGGTGCATGCGGTACATGGTCACTGTCGACTGCCGACTGCCCCCGGTCACGCCCGCTGTCAGCACTTGCGAACCACACGTGCCGAGCATTTGATACGCGGAATGCGAGACAAAGTTGCTGACGGTTCTGATTGGCGTTCGTTTTCCAGTTCGGACCCAAATGACGTTTAGCTGTCAGCCCAGCGACTCGACCTAGTGGTATATGACCGGCCAAACCACTCAACAACCGGGAACTGTGTGCCCCCGGCAGAGTGCGACACCCGCAGCCGGACAGAAGCCCAGAAGCTGGGCCCCGGCCGGCAGCGACGCGTTCCGTCGGCGTACCGAGCTGCTGGAGGCGCTGCTGGCTGTCGTTCTGCTGGCGCCGGATGTCGAGCAGCAGCGGCCGGCAGCGCGTGAGCGCCTCGAGCGGCGCGCGCGGGTCGCTGCACACGCCCAGCACCAGCCGGTCCAGCGAGAAGATGCCCGGCTCGCCGCTGGCCGTCAGCTGGCGGAACAGGGCCGCGCAGATGAACATCACGTGTGAATCGCAACACATCGAGTCCCAGGTTAGGTTCCGTGCATCATCTAAGGGCGCTGGTTTAAGATGGGACATGCCGCCGCAGGAAATGTCTGCAACTACAATTCTGATATTTGCACCCCAGAAAAGGACGGACCACACACTCAGCCCTTCTCGAGCCCGTCATGCGTGAAACGGTGCAATACCTTCCGCCCAGCTGTGGACCTGGACGCCTACGCCACAAATACTGCGAACCAACAGAGCCACACACAGCACGACAGAGTCACACATGACGCAACAGATCCACACATGGCACAACAAAGCCACACATGACGCAACAGATCCAAACATGGCACAACATAGCCACACATGACGCAACATAGCCACACAAGGCACGTCAGACACACACGACATAACAGAGCCACACACGGCACAACATAGCCACACATCACACAACAGATCCACACATGGCACAACATAGCCACACATGACACAACAGAGCCACATATGGCACAACAGAGCCACACATGACGCAACAGATTCACACATGGCACAACACAGTCACACATGACACAACATAGCCACACATGGCACAACAGAGCCACACATGGAACAATAGAGCCGCACATGGCACAACAGGGCCACGGAAGGCACAACAGACACACATGGCACCATATAGCCACACACAACGCAACAGAGCCACACATGGCACAACTAAACCGCACATGACGCAACAGAGCCACACATGACACAACAGAACCGCACATGGCGCAACAGAGCCACACATGACACAACAGAACCGCACATGGCGCAACAGAGCCACACACGACGCTCCCGAGGAACGCCCTCCACAGAATCCTGTCCTTGCGATGCCGTGGCCGTGCACATCCAACAGACCGTAACGAGCCCACCACTCCGCCCGACCCTCCCCGGCCATGCACAGTCCGCCCACTCACTCTGTCGTGGACGCCCACATCCCTGCAGGCACTGAAGCACACCGCGCGCACCCGAGCGGCACGCGGTCGGCGCACGCGCCCCTCTCGCTCTGCTTACTCCGGGCGCGGCGACTTACCTTGTCGTAGACGTCGGTGGCCGAGTCGAGCCAGTCGGGCGTGGCGAAGAACACCGACTCGGAGAGCGTGTAGCCGGTGCCGAGCGAGGCGGTGAACGCACGCGGGAACGAGACGACGAACTCGCCCGGCTGCTGCACCGTCCGGCTCACCGGCACGCTGCGGGGTCGGGGCGGGTCAGAGCGGTGGGGCCGAGGAGGGGATCAGCGGCAAGACAGGGTGTGCCGTCTGGGCTAGGGCGCAGCACGAGGCGACCGTGTGTCGCATGACCGGCACCGGGGACGCAAGGAGGCACAGGGACGAGAGAAGCACCGAACATGCTGGCATCATTACACAGGGCTGAAATCGATAAAACGTTCCACACTTATGAGAAAGATCACTGACCCAACACCACACCTGTTCTGGGGACGACAGCCAGGTCACGGACCGGCCTGTCGCGTCTGCACCGGGGCTGCGACTACGCATGCACTCGTCGAGGTCCGTATCCCCTGGCACACGGTGGCGAGTTGGGCGGCCCTCCCGCGGCGGCCGACAGGCTGACTGACGTCGCGGTCACGTCCGGGGAGGGCCGGGCCCGTGCGCGTTTGTCCCGGTCCGGGGTCGTGTCCGCACCGCTCCGGGAGCACGTCTGTGTGCAGCCCGGCCAGGCGGGCGTCTCACCCGCGGGCGGCCAGCAGGTCGGGCGGCACCATGGCCGTGTCGGAGGGCAGCCAGACGGGCTGGCGGCGCAGGTGGCCCGGCATCAGCTCCGTCAGCTCGCGCCGCAGCGCCTCGCTCGCCGTCGCCGGCACGCTGTACCAGATCTGGCGGCCGGCAGCCCCCGTCAGACAGCCGCCGGCTCTGGAGACGCCCCCCACAGCAGGCCGACGGAGCGGCGCACCGTGACTGCACACCGCCCGCCGAGCGGTCCACTCAAGCGCTCGGGCGCTGCAGGGCGCTCCGGTGGGTGGTCGGAGCGTACCAGAGCGGGCAGCCGAGAAATGGTGCCGTTTGTCGGCCGCAGCGGACAGCCACAGCGGACGTCAGCTTGGAAATCTGACGCACGTTAAACAGCGCACCAGATTCGGACGTACGCATCGCGGGATGAGTTATCCGCTAGTGGGACGACCCGCTCCGCCCCTTAGCATCCATTCACAGTAACGTGGATGGCTAGACGATTAGAGAGTGGAAAGCCACAGCGCAGGCCATAACATTGGACCGAATGAATGCGGGCTGTCCCATGCCAGACCGTCCCAAACAGAACACTGCACGACACAGACATGAACAAGAAAATCGTACACGGGGAAACTACATATAGTAATGACTTAAGGCGAAGTAACTGGTACGGACCCGTCATTTTTGCGTGTCCAAAAAGCACTAGCTTGCTTCCTCCAAAAAAAACACGACTTTTTCGCACCATTGTCACACCACATCGCTGCTTGAAACTACCACAGCTATTCTAGCTGCCTGCCGCCTCCTACGTCTGACTTAAGTGGGGCGGCGCCAGAGGGACGCACCTTGCCGGCGCCGGTGTGCAGGTACTCGATCCAGGGCAGGGAGTGCGGGTCCGAGTACCAGCAGCCGGTGGTGAACACCATGGACATGTGTAGCGTGGGAACCGTCACACCTGACGACGCCAAGACAGAATGGTCAGAGATCGCTTATGGGTCATATCAACACAGCAAAGTGCACAACAGCGCGCAGCTTATGATCTTAAACACATGATAGCCTCATCAGAGTCCACTGTTGCCATTTTCGACTATACAGACATTTCTGTACGCTGCCGTATACCACCAGTTTACTACGCAAACCGCGCAACCCACTTCTCCTCGATGCATCGACCTTCCACTCAGAAAGTATCAATTTTCACTCCAGATCGTGGTCATGTGGGCCAGCTTCTTTTATGGCCAAACACGAATTAAAACAGAACATCTGTCACATCAGCTCCGGACACGTTTTTTTGCTACGTTCCTGCATCCACCGCAATGTCGTCTCGCTCACAACACCCAAGCCAGCTAGCCACGCGCCACCCCGGCGTCACACAGCCGCCCCAGCGTGGGACGAGAGCCGCCGGCCGGCCGGCCGCGGCGCATACTCACCCATGACCTGCCCCATGGAGCGCAGCACGGAGCCGGCGTTGTTGCTGAGCACCTTCAGGTTCCAGGCGAGCCGCGACGTCTGCGACTTCTTGTCGCACACGAAGCCGTAGCCCTGCACGCCCGAGTCGATGCTGCCCGAGTAGACGCACACGTGGCGGTCGCGCTCGTTCACCACCTGGGGAGCAGAGGTGTGCTGACGGCGGGCGGCGCGTGCCACTCGAGCTGGAGCGGGCCCCAGCTGCAGGCAAAGGCCGGCGCCTATCATGGTGACAATTATCAAGATTTTGGACGCCCCGACTGGAGAGGCCGTATGGAAACCTACATCCAGGCAAGAACTAGTCCGAAAACTCACCAAGATCCCAGTACTGCGGCACTGCCCCCTCCGTACAAAACGATTACCGCGCACAGGGTTGTGGGAGCCGAGACGAGATACCACGACAAGACGCCCCGGACACTGATTCGGGCAAGAGGGTGACTCAGCTACCGGGCTACAGCGCCCACGATAATACATACTCTAAACATTCGTCGAGCGAAACGATCCAGCCAAGCACGCAGCACAGGCTTCATCCGCGTGCTGCGGCGTCGCACGTCTGTGCGAGACGCGCCGACAAAGACACGGTCGGCGGGTGACGCCCGAGACTCACCTTCCAGTACTCCTCCTCCACCGTCTCCGGCTTGGGGTCGCTCTGCTTGAACAGCAGCGACGCCGTGTTACGCGCCACCCGGTAGAAGGCGCTCAGGCTCACCGTCTTGCCCTGTAGCAGACCGGACACAGTCGGAATGTGGAGAATAGTGTTCCCTAACGCCCCTATCACATTACACGATGATTAACAGTGAGCCCAAGGCCACTGCCCCTGCCCCTAAAGCCCCTAGTATCATAAGATGAGTTAAAGCTATGAATGAAAACAAACAATCAGTACAATTACGGATGTAAATATTAATGACTGATACTTCCGATCTTAAAACGGAGGCTCAAGATTTCATCTGTGAGACACTACACATCCTATCTGGTTTAGAAGGTCCGGGCGCTGCCACGACTCGCCCCACCGCACCGGAGAGCGTGCGTACCTTGACGATGCACTCTGAGGAGTCGTCGTCCTCCTCGTCGCTGTCCTCGTCCTCCTCCTGACGATGGACCGTCTGCTGGCGGCGCCGCCACTCCGTCTCCACCTCGATACGCAGCCGCTTCCGCTCGTCTGCCAGGACGCGGGGGTCACGGAGGTCAGGTGAGGCGGGGTCAGGGAGGTCAGATGAGGCGAGCTCAGCACCGGTCAGGTGAGGCGAAGCTAGGGGCCGTCAGGTCGAGTCAGAGCAGCCCAGGTCAGGCAAGGGCGGCGGGAAAAGTATAGCCGCGCAGGGATACCAGCCGAAACCCCTTCGTAATCATGTTAGGGACCAGCAAGCACGCACGCACGCGCACGCGCACACGCGCACATACACACACATGCATGTCCCAATGTACAGACCCAAATGTGGACAGAGCACCCAGATGACACGCTGTGGGATATCAGTGCACGGCCGCTTCCTTTGACGTGTGCCGCTCGTGTTGCCACGCCGAAGGCGGCGGGAGGCGCGACTCAGAGGTGCCCGGCCGTGCCACTGTACGCAGCACCTGGCGCGGGGCCCGCGACCTGCGGCGGCGCCAGGGGCGATAACCGCACGCACCCTCGGTGAGCGCCGTGTAGCCCAGCAGGAACTTGCAGTAGATCTGGTCCAGCTTGGCGGCGCGGTCCTGCGCGCACTTGGGGATGTTGATGAGATCCGCCACGGCGGCCCAGCGGCGACCGGTGATGACCTCGTTCAGCCCGCCCAGCCGCTGCACCGTGTGGTAGAGGCCGGGCAGGTCCACCTCCATCCCACCCACCTGTCAAGAGGGCGTACCGGTCACACGGAGACACGCGCGCTAGAGGTCACGCAGGTCCGCCTTCACAAGGCGCGCCAGCGTGTCAGAGACCGCACCGGTCAGCTGGGAGATGATCTAGCCCTGATATGGAGCCCGGCACTTACCAGACATATCCAGTCCAACTCACATCGCATCACATCGACAACTCACAGAATGCACGCTCACGTGGGACCGCCGTACCACCCACCACCGAGGGAAACACCCCGCCGTCCATACGGCAGCACAGGCTCGGCAGCCCGTCCGGCCGCCAGCACCCGCCAGTGGCGACGCCCCAGAGACTGCGACCGGACCGGTGAGCGGCCGTGGCCCCGGCGGCGGCCCCCAGGAGGGCGCCTCTCACCAGCGGGATGTCCTCCATGTCGATCTGCTGCTGCTCCAGGTGTCGCCGGATGGCCAGCAGCTCGCGGAAGTTGGGTCCCCAGCGGCGGAACACCTTGTGCACGTAGTGGTTGTACGCCACGAACCGCATGTCGTCGTGCACGCGGCACTCGGGCTGTCGGCAGGGAGGGGCACGTCATGTGGGTGGCGGGGGGCACCGGGTACGGGTCTGGGGAGAAGGCAGGGTACGGGTACCGGGCACGGGGAGAAGGCAGGGTACGGGTACCGGGCATGGGGACACGCAAATGAAAGTCGCGCAGGTGGACCGACAGCCGGCAGCCGCTGACTCTCTCGTCACTCACGTATGTCCGACAAATCTCCCGCTCTTACTGATGCGTGGCACCATGGAATATCACATGTCATTACTTCACGGCGATAGAACAAGGGGCCAGGTGAAGACGAAGAGGTGAATTTTCGTTTCACAACCGAGCTCATCGACATGATAAGCTCGTGAGCATGGGCTCATTGGCACCAACTTTGCATCGTTGAATTATGCTTGCGTCAGAAGGAAAAATCCGTGAGGCCTAGCACATGTTACTCATTTCGGTCCACTCATCACCACTTCATCAATTGACTAAACCCGATACCCTACATGCCAGCACTAAACACGACTAGGCACGGACTGGCTCTCTCTCTCTTTCTCAGACTCCGCAAACTCTCCTCACCACTCCCATCCCGCCCAGACACAAACACGAGACCGCTGTGCGACGCCTCCCCCACACGGTCCACCAGCGCCGTGCCGTGTCCAGACAGACCGGTCCCCACCTTGAAGCCGGGCGGTGGCACGACGCGGCAGAGGCCATGCTGCTCGGCCTGTGGTCGGATCTTCTCGATGTAGCTGAGTGGGTCGGCAAACTCGCGCTCGCTCGGCCGGAACACGGGCGCCTCCTGCAGCGCGCCCAGCTCCAGCGACGAGCTCTTGCGCACCCGCCTGGCGAGGGCGGCGGGCGGTCAGCGGCGCGCAGCCGAAGGAGTGAGCTCAGCCGAGCACAGAGACAGTCAGCGGAGCTCTCAGACGGGCAAGCTCAGCAGAGCACAGAGACAGTCAGCGGAGCTCTCAGGCAGGCAAGCTCAGCCGAGCACAGAGACAGTCAGCGGAGCTCTCAGGCAGGCAAGCTCAGCCGAGCACAGAGACAGTCAGCGGAGCTCTCAGACGGGCAAGCTCAGCCGAGCACAGAGACAGTCAGCGGAGCTCTCAGACGGGCATGCAAGGCCGGAGCACAGAGACAGTCAGCGGAGCTCTCAGACGGGCAAGCTCAGCAGAGCACAGAGACAGTCGCGGAGCTCTCAGGCATGCAAGCTCAGCCGAGCACAGAGACAGCCGCGGAGCTCTCAGGCAGGCAAGCTCAGCCGAGCACAGAGACAGTCGCGGAGCTCTCAGGCATGCAAGCTCAGTCGAGCACAGAGACAGTCGCGGAGCTCTCAGGCATGCAAGCTCAGTCGAGCACAGAGACAGTCGGCGGAGCTCTCAGGCATGCAAGCTCAGTCGAGCACAGAGACAGTTGGCGGAGCTCCCAGGCAGGAAAGCTCAAAAGACCGTGAGCATCCCGGGCCCCCACAGACGAAATAGCACATTCGCAACAACAGGCCGGCGTCACAGCGAGGAAGCGCCGCGTGACAGCTACAGTGATGGCAACGGCAACACCCGCCCCGAGCTCGAACACCCTCGACGCGACATCTCAACATAACCTGGACACGATTCCCAACCCTAGCCAGACCCCAGCGCCCAGTCCACCCACCTGGCGGGCGCCGGACTCTGCGACGAGCGCCGGCTCTGCGGCGTGGAGGCGTCCTCGCGTCCCGAGTCGTCGGCGCGCTCCGGTCGGCGCCGGCCGCCGCCGCGCGCCGCCGGCGAGAGCGGCGAGCCCGGCGCCGGCCGGCGCGGCTCCGGTTCCGAGGACGAGCCAGCCTCCTCCGGCGGCTGGCGCCGGACGCCGCGCGCCGGCGGCGACGGCCGCGCCTCGCCGCCCGCCGCCGGCCGCTCCGCCGACTTCTGCGCGCTCGCGGCCGGCAGTTTCGGTCTTGGCTCCGCGGTCTGTTTGGCGGGTCGGCTATCCGCCTTAGTAGCCAGAGCGGCGACAGCTGGTCGACTCTCACCCTTGGTGGCCGGAGCGACAGCTGGTCGACTCTCACCCTTGGTGGCCGGAGCGGCGGCAACCGGTCGACTTCTCACCCTTGGTGGCCGGAGCGACAGCTGGTCGACTCTCACCCTTGGTGGCCGGAGCGACGACAGCTGGTCGACTCTCACCCTTGGTGGGCGGAGCGACGACAGCTGGTAGACTCTCACCCTTAGTAGTCGGAGCGACAACAGCTGGTCGGCTCTCACTCTTGACACTCTCACCCTTGCCACCGGTTCGGTGAGCCTCGGCGGCGTCGACGGGGCGACTGTCGACCTTCGCCAGAGCGGGTGCCGCCTCGGCCACCGCCGCTGGCGTGCTACTAGCGGTCGACCTCGCCCGCTCAGCCGCCGGGGAGGACCGCGACGCCGCCGGCGGGATCAGCGGCGTCAGCCCCGGAGGCGTCAGCCCTGTGTGCGCCGGCCTCGAGAGCGGCGGCGACCCGCTCTCCGGTGTCGTCGACGCCGCCGCCACCGCCTGGGCTGTCGTCTGAGGAGACGGCGGCCCAACCAGAGGAGAGTGGGTCGCTGCCGCTGGACGCTGTGACGTCACGGTAGGCGATTGCAGCCGACGAGGAGAGGTCGACGCCGACACCGAAGCGGGTTTGGGAGCGGCCGTCGAGGAGGTCAGCGCGGCTGTCGGAGGTCGCGACTCGCTGGAAGCCAGCGACCTGTTGGCAGCCACCGACGGACGCGAACTCATCGCCGGAGAGCGGGAGGCGGCGACGGCGGCGGGGGGCGGCGGGCGAGCGACAGCCGCCGAGGATCGTGCCGCCGACGCGGGCCCGGCCGCGGCCGGCAGCGGCCGAGCCAGCGCGGCGAGCGCGGCCAGCGACACCTTAACGTCAGCTGGCGATCCGGCACCGCGGTCGGGTGGTGGTGGCGCCGGCAGGAGGTTCGCCTGCCGCAGCTGCGCCAGCACCGCCGCCTTGCTGTCGACCGGGGAAGCGGCCTGGGCGGCGGCGGGTCGCGGCGCAGCCTGGGCGGCAGCGGCGGTGGCGGCGGCCGGGCGCAGCGCGGCCGGGCCGGCCGGTGGCGCGCTCAGCACGGCCACGCCCGTGCCGTGCAGCTGCGAGGCGCCGAGCAGCGTCAGGCGCGCGCCGAAGGCCTGCGACGCGGCGCCGGCCGGCAGCAGCGGCGCCGAGTACGGCAGCGGCGCGCCCAGCCGGTACTGCAGGCCGGCGCCGGTGCTGGGCGGTAGGCGGATCAGGCCTGGCGGCGGCGGGCGGGCGCAGAAGCGGCCCGGCCCAGCCGCCGTGGAGGCGGCGGCCGGCCGCCACCACTCGCCGTGCGGGTGGACCGGTTTGATGGGCGCCGGCCGGTCGGCGGCGGGCACCGGCGGCGGCACGCCGGAGACAGCCCACGTGGCCGGCGCCAGCGGACGCTTGCCGCCGGCGCCGGCCACCGGCAGCAGAGAGTACGGACTGGCAGCGTAGGAGACCGCCGGCACGGCGCCGGCGAACAGGCCTGCCGCGCCCAGCTGGTACTGCACCTGAGGACGGCGCCGCCTCATTACCGGTGGCACAGGCCGGACATCTGGACATGCATCACAGCTTGGGTGTGCATGCGGTGGTAAGCACCCGGAGAAGATCCACGGCACGACGGCAAAGTTAGTGAAGTTGAACCAGCTACAACTGCGATCAATAATGATTTTCTATGTACCGCAAAAATGACACCAACGTACATGCAGATGACCTGCACGTGTGATAACGTAGATGGAAACGAGTGAAGCGAGGACAGACACAAATTTACTGATCCCGTGGCCAGAAATCCCATGATCACCACCACACAAACACCGCGACCATCCCTCCGCCCGGCCACCGACGCACCTGCTGGAGCCGGGGCGGCGGCTGCTGGCTGAGCTGCTGCGCCAGGCCGGGCGGCGGCTGCAGGCTGCAGCGCGGCGCCGTCACCGACACCAGCTGCAGAGGGCGGCTGCTCTCCGGCACCGCGTACGGCGGCCGCAGCAGCGATACTGGCATGAAGACGCGCGACGGCGCCGCCGCCGCCGCCGCCGCCGCCGCGTACGACAGCGGCGGCGGCAGCGAATGGCGCGCCGCCGTCTGGCTGGGCGGCTGCGTCGGTCGCTGCGCGGCGGACTGGGTGAACAGCTGGCCGAGCGACTGCACCGCAGGCTGCGGCAGCGACTGAGTGAGAGGCACGCGCAGGGACTGCGCTGGTGTCTGCGCCTGCTGCTGCACCGGCGTCGGCGTCTGCTCCTGCGCTGGCGTCGAGGTCCCGTGCTGCTGCTGCGCCAGGGTCTGAGTCTGCTGCTGCGCCGGCGCCGGCGCCTGGGTCTGGGTCTGCGTTTGCGTCTGCGTCTGCTGCTGTGCGTGCTGCTGCGGCGGCGCCGCCGGGCTAGGCGACGCGCCGGACGCCGACGCGGCCGACTCCTCGTCCATGTTGACCTGGACGGCGATGGTGCAGGTGGAGCGTTCGGCCGGCGGCGGCGGCGGCTGGTCCTCGCTCGTCGACGTCGCCTCGGACACCGTCTTGACCGTGGTGTCGGCCGCCGACTGACGCAGCGTCAGCGACGCCAGGTTCTCGTCCGAGTCGAACTCGTAAACGCCCATGGCTGAGCGGCTGGTGGCGGCGGCGCCAGGGGGCCGGCTTGCGCCGCCGCGTCGCTGCGACAGCCGCGACATGCGCCGCTGCGCCGTCTCTTTCAGCTTGGAGAGGAACGTGCCCTCGGCCGTCTTCGACGGGGTCTTCTTCTTAGGCGTCGTCTTCGGGTCACCATTGGGCGAGGTGGGCCGCGGCTTCTTCTTCGGCTGCCGCTCACCGGCGTCCGAGTCCGCCGGCTTCCTTGCGGCCGACGGCTCCCGCTTCAGACCCCTGTTCTGTGCAGCGGCGCCCGCAGCCTGCCTGTCGGCCGACGAATCGGTGGCTTGTGAGGTGGGACTGGCCTCGGCAGCGACCGCCTCGGTGGAGTTCGCCGATGCTCGGTGCCTTTCCTCAACACTCACCGCCGGCTTCGCCTCTCGCACGGCGTCCGTGCCGTTCTTGTGCTGTTTTTCGTTACCGCCGGCGGTGATGCCCTCCCCGTGCGCATTCGTCGCGCCAGTCGGCTCGTCATCAGAGTCCGAGTCCATGATGTCGTACGAAAAGAACGCTTCGCTGCGCTTGCGGAGCGTGCGGCGCGGCCTGTCGGCGGCGGCGGCCGGCACCGGCCGTTCGCGGCGCGCCGGCAGCTCCGGCTCAGCCTCCTCGCTGCTGGAGGAGGCGGCGGGCACCGGCGGCCGGCGGCGGCGCGTCGCTCGCGGCGGACTGGCCGGCCGGCTTTCAGTGCCGCTGCTGCTGTCGGCCCAGCCGCGGCGCCCCGGCACGAAAGCGCGCTTGCGCACTGCGCCGGCGATCGGCGGCGGCGGCTCCGGCCGCTGGGAGCGCGTGACGCGCGCCGCCCGCTCGCTGCCCGAGCTGGCGGCCGGCGCCGGCGGCTCCCAAGAGCGCCGCATCGCCGCCGGCCGCTGCATCGCCGAGCCGGGCCGCCGCGAGCGCGGCGCCGCCTCCTCGTCCGAGCTGGACGAGTCGCAGCGGCGCGGAGGCGGCGGGGCGCGCGCGCCACCCACGCCGGAGCGGCGCACGCGACGCGTCCGCGCCGTCGCGCCCGACGCCGAACTGCTCGACTCCGAGCCGCGCGCCTCCTCTCGTTTGGTCTTCTCGTCGCGCGACTCTCGCTCCGAGTGTGAGCCGACATGGTGGGAGGGGCGTCCATTCGGCTTGGCCTTTCGCGACGAGGCGTCCTTGTTCTCGTCCTTGGTAGAGCCGATATCGGTATGGCGGCGCGTAGGCCGCGCATCCATCACTTTAGGCTCCTTTTGATTTGCGTCTTCCTTGCTCTCATCCTCCGAGCTAGTGACCGGTTGCTTCTTCATTGGCATGCTTCTGAGGCTTCTTGTCGCTACCGTCTCCTTTTCCTTCTTTTGACCCTCGTCCGAGGATGAGTCGTCCCTTGCAGGGGCTTTGTCCTGTTTCTTGGCGCTGACTTTCACAGCACCGCCCGACTGTTTTGAAGGTTCCAATGCACCCTTGACGGTTTTCAGCTTGGTCGCTTGCTCTTGTCCGCGTTCCTTAGCCCTCAAGTGACCTGCTCTGCGACGAGTACTCTCCCTCACCGTGATGTGACTCGCCTCGGTCGTCTCTTCTGACGAGCTTGAGTCCATGATTTGACGTGCCGCGATATGCCCCCTCCGGCTTTTCTTGAAATCACTCCGATTTCCATCCACAGCGACGGTTTTGCTTCGCTCCCGCCACGACCTAAGCTCCTTCCTCCTGAGCTCCATCTTTCTCTCGCCCTCCGCCTCGGAGCTGCTGTCGGTCTTGGCGTCTCTCGTGTCTCTGCCGCTCCGCCTGCCCTGTGCCGCCGACTCGGCCTTCGCCGGCCGTTTGGGCGGCGGCCGGGCCGCAGCCGGCGTCTCCGTCGCGGACCCCTCCGACTCTGACACAGCGCCGCCCACCACGGTGCCGTCTCGGAGCGTGCGGCCCCGCGGCACCGCCGGCGCCCGGACCGGAGCAGGAGCAGGAGCCGAAGTCGGCTCCACCACCGCCTCCTCCTCCCCCTCCCCGCCACTGTCGGAGGCGGCTGGCAGCACGCGCCGGCCGTCGCGCAGCGTGCGCGGGCTGGCCGACCTCTCGGCCTGCCGTCGGCTCGTCGTCGTCGCTGCGCGGCACCGGCTCCTCCACCCAGAACCAGAACTTGCTTTTCGAGCGGCTGGCCAGGGCCAGCTTGGGCCGCGCCGGGCCATCGGCCGCCGGCGGCGGAAGCTGGGGCGGCCGGGGGGCGACGCCGGCCCGCGCCGGCCGCTCGCCGCTCGAGCGGGTCGACACCTCGTCTTCGCTGCGGCGCGGCGGCCGCGGCCGCGCCAGCTGGCTCAGCCAGGACCGGCTAACTGCGGTCGGCTTGGCGCCGTCCTCCCGCGGCGGCCTGGGGCCGAGCAGCGAACGCAGCGTTAGCGTTAGACTACACATACAGGTGACTTCCTGAGCCATGATCGGAGGCATCTGACAAGGGATCTGCATGATCGGAAACAGTCTTATTCGTTTTCTGAACTACTGAAAATCTGAAGTTGTATCGGAGAGCACGCAAATTTCGTCGCATGCGCGGCGTTCAGGGTAATACAAGATCCTGAATCATTCACAACACAGAATACAGCGATGACCAGTTCGTTTGACAGGATAACTGTGGTCGGACCTCCATTACACATTCCCACACCACCAATTTCAAGCCAGCCAACCCCTCTCCAGCACTAGCAGCACCACCCACCTGGCGTCCGGCCGGCGCGGCGCCTTCTCCATCCGCGCTCCCGCGCCCGGTCTGCGCAGCTTCTCCGAGATCTTGCGCATCATGGCCAGCTTGGTGGCGCGCTGGCGAATCCTGGTGGCCGCATCCACCGCCGACGACTTGTCGGACGCCGGGCGCGGCGGCCGAGCCGGGTCGGACGGCGCCGGCGGCCGCGGCGGCCGAGCCGGGTCAGACGGCGCCGGCGGCCGCGGCGGCCGGGCCGGGTCGGACGGCGCCGGCGGACGCGGCGGCCGGGCGCCGCCTGATATCTGCGCCCGCGTCAGCCGCGCGAACGGCCGCTGATGCTTGAGCGCGGTGAGTTTGATGGCCGGCCCAGCCGACGGGTAGCGCAGGCTGCTGGATACCACCAGCCTGCCAGGCGGACCGAGGCTCCGTGACAGCGGCGAGAACGTGGCGCTGGGAGAAAGTGAACGCTGGGACGGGGAGGTACAGCATGCTGCACAGCAGATGGGGAGCGCCAGACGGCATCTTTTATACAAAGTGACAACACCTTGCCGTAACCAACGCACTACTGTGAGGTGCTCTTGTAAGCCCCCCTTCCCCATTGGGTCCCTTTTGAGCGAAGACTTCGCAGACCTTTTATTGCACAAAGAAAAAACCTTTGGTTAGATAAATATACCAAACAAATCAGGAACCTCCTGTACATTCAGCGCGTAGATTGTTTGCTGGGAAAAAACTGTAAAATCTGAAAACTTGTAGCGCAAAAAATAAACGCCAGTAAGGCAGCCCGCACAGATGAGAAGCATGCGATACCTCAGCCGCACAAAACAGGAGCGACAAAATTAGAGATCACTTGTAACGTTGCCAGCGCGCTGAGCTGGCCCCCGCGTGCCACCCCTCCCCACCTCTGCAGCATGCGCGCCTTCTTGTCGACCGCCTTCTGCGCGCGTAGCTTGGCCGACTGCGACTTCTTCTTGGCGATGAGGCTGGAGTGGGAGAGCTTGCGCAGCACCACCTGTGCCCGCTTCAGTGTCGGCGCCGCAGAGTTCTTGTCGGAGCGCGGCGCCGACGGCGAGCCACGCGGCCGAGACCGCAGCGCTGTCGGGACCGCGCGCGTCAGCCGGAGGGGGGGGGGGGGGGGCGCAGGGCCGGGCATTGCAGTAGGGGCCACAGGGAAAGCCGGTTAAAGTGCGGGTGCTCAGTCATAACTGCGTTCTGCCGATCAGTATGTACCTCCAGATCTCCTCCAAATCGCAAGGCCCGTCTGGAAGTAGCAAGTACTTAAGGTCGGCCTTGGCCGGCGCCGAGCCGTTCAGCCTCCGCTAACCAGCGCAGACAAAGAGCGAAAGGCGACGTCAAACACCGCCTGGAACAGTGTTGCAACCCAAGCAGCTCTCTGGGAGCGAGCACACGCCGGTTCACTCACCATTGCCGTGCTTCTGAAAGAGTGGCTTGGAGGCTGACATCTTGGCGTGCCCGTTCTGTCGCAGCACTCCGGCACCCGCTACCTTCTGCTCCTGCAGCGCACAACAGGGCGTCAGCTGACAGTGCCAGCGCCAACACGACCCGCCGGCGGTGCGTCGGGCGGTAACGGACAGACAATGGCCGAGAGACAATTGTACCGGCACGAGGGTGTCAAATTCCGGTGCCGCTTGACTCTCGGTGGACGGGTGGGATCCGCCTTGCGCTCCAGGTGAATAGAGGGGAAACGGGGCGGCATCATGTGATCTCTGGGCTACCAGATGCGCTTGAACCATGAATAAACAAGGGTATGAAGTTGGGCAACGACAGGATCATTGAATATCCAACTCTACCATATCATACCTATTGTTACACTTAAGTCGGCAAAACGACGTTGACTTTGTGTATTGGTGTAAGTAAATGAGCTCGCAGAGAACCCGAGCAGTGCTCAAGGAAAGTGACGTCATTCAAAATATATAGCTAATCCACAATAAACCGAACTTGCTTCATGAAACCTCCGAAATATTTGAAACAAGCGCAAACACATTTGCAGTGAGTAACATGCATATCTACTCCACTCGGCCCAACAACAGTGCAACATCACAAACACAGCGAAATCAGTCGCCTGCCTACACGCACGAGGACCTGGCTGACCTGGGGCCTGCCACCACCATCACCACCTCGCTACGTGGGATTCAGACTGCACCTGAACGCGTCAACACGTGTGCTCACACGACAAAATGTGCACCATTCACACCACCGGCCGGAGACGGCTGGCGGTGTGGGCCAGAGCGGCGGCGGACGCGTGGCCCGTTGGACGAGTACGAGACGTGGGCTCGCTGACAGCGACGACTGGGCTGTCTTTCTTTTCATGAAAGACACCTAGATTTAAGCACCCCGAATTGGCGCCAGCCCACTAATCACACGTCATGCTGCATCATGCTCACGATTGGAAATAAACAACAGCTCACCACGAGCCCACCGCTCTGCCGGCGCCTGCTCACCTTCCGCATGGGCGGCTGGTCGGCGGGGGAAGGGACGGCCCGCTCCGCCTTGGCGCCGGCCGCCAGCGGGTACACCGTCGGGTGGTTGAACTTCTCCAGGTGCGGCGGCAGGTGGTCCGTGCCTGGCGGACGACACACAGCACAACCATCAGTGCTGCTAGCACGCATCACAACAACTCAGCGCACAGCCAATAGTCACGCTCGTAGTTACGCCAGCACAACTGGACACAATCTGGAACGACATCTGGCAGGTTCACCAGAAGTCACGCAGATGATAGATGGCTAATGACACTTTAATCCATCTAAAATCGTCAGCTATTATCCAGGTTCAGCAGCACCCACAGCACGCCCAGCGGGAGCACAAACTGGCAGCGCCATTTAGCAATCACCATATGTCGAAATTCCGAAGCCGTCTACTCCTCACCACACTCAAAAGTCTTTCGGACACGCTCGCAACCAGCCAGCCGCACCTCTGAAGCAGAGGAAGGTGATGAAGTCCTCGGTCTTGGGCAGTGGTCCGTTGGGCACAGCCAGCGGCACGGGCGAGACGGGGCGCGAACCGGGCGGCGCCGGCGGCGACGGCGGCGCAGAGGACGCATACGGCGCGGCCACGCCCTGTGCGAACTTGCGCTGCGCGAAAACCTTCCGCTTCTTCAGCATGGGCGACTCGGGCGATGGGGCGCTGGGGCCGCGCCCCGTCACTGTGTCACGCTTGGAACGCGGCATCCCGCCCCTGGAACGGGGGCGACGGTGGGTGTCACTGGATCATGCCTGGACCATGGCATCCAACCTCTGCAGTTGGGGATAACTGGTGCCGCAATGCTGTGCTTGGAGCACAACCCTGAAAGCGGATCACATCACAACGTGGTCAGCGCAGAATCAGAATAGGAGAAAAGCCAAGCTCATAGCACAATTGGCTGTGGGAGATAAAGAGATTGTGCATCCATAGAGCCCACAACTGCTTTAAATGAAACATGGCAGAATATCAAATTTAATCCCCTTATGTGGCGGGCATTCAAGTTGAGCAGCCTGTGTCCAACTTCAACTTCAACTTCAAGTACAGCTTTATGGAGATAGTAGGCAGACTCAGATGACCAGTGGTTGACTGAAATGGTCTGGAAAGACATACATCTTAGCCACTGATTTTAGCATCCTAACTGATCTTTGAAACATT